TTAGTGCTTTTCTTATATATCTTAATGCTCTCCAGTTAGTGTGTTCTGGTTATCCCCAACCTACTTTGGATTTTTTTCAATAAACTGGGCTATTCTAGTATATGGATTTGCAAGGTCTTTTGGAACTTTAGCAGACCTAGAGCATGTGTAAATTCTACTAGTTGTGAATTCGTGACTGGCTGGGAGTAGGTACTGTGTTTAGGAAATCTTTTTTTACAAGCATACAAAATTCTGTCCATGTTGCTTCTCTCATTTGTCTTCCTGGTTTAGCAGCCACTGAAGACCACGGTGGCTTCAAAGATGATTTTTGCCCTGTGTTGTCCTTGCCCCTCAAGTCCATGTTGGTCATCCCACCTGGGCTGTGAAACTCCCTCTCAGCTGTGGCTGGGCAGGGAGCAAGCAAATGCCGCCGCTGCTGTGACTCCTTGTGTTCACTGTGGAGACAATGAAGGTCATGCCCATCCCAGATGGTCTGCTGGGCTTTGGCACTGCAGGAATGAACTTGTTGGACATGCAGAACACTGCTGGCACTGGGAGTTGCCTGCTGGAAATCACCACCTCTCTCCACTGCCATAGGGGTTTCCTATGAAATGACTGAGATCTCTGTATTATAGCATGAATATGGACCTATTCACGGTTGTGGTGAAGGCTTTTTTTTTTAATATGTTTTGGAATATTGTCTTGAGTACAACCATACATTGTGTATAAGCATATCCTTTCCATTACTCTCAGCTGTCTGCAGTCACATAATCAAAATATTTCAAAGTGTAATGCAAATAAATATTAGTGTGTTTTGACTTTGTACATATTCATGATCTCCTTGTACTTTTTGATACATGTTTCAAAATAAGGTGATATTTTGTTGAAGACTCGCTGTTTTTCTTACTTCATGCTTATCTATCTTTAGAAATCAGAAGCCCAGTATCTGTTTCTGAACTTCCCTGCCACATCCTGGGCTCCCGAGTCATCGGCTGAGAAGTGACAGCTCACCTTTTGACCACTTAGCATTATAACTGTTTGAAAGAATGTCCTTTGGTTTCACTTCTCATGCTATGACTTCTTTCAACCCCCTCAAGAGGATTTTCTTGAGCATTCTCTGACTGTGGTCGTATTGGAGCTGTTTCAGCACTCCTGACACACCTTTTGTGTCGCTGACAGGCACCGGAGAAAGGGCTTCCATGAACTCAGCTGAACTTGAGGATGTATAAAAGAAGCACGTTGGGCATTGCTCATGGGGATTTGTTTTTAACAATACAAATTTCCAAGGCTGTGAAATATTTCAATATTTCAATAAAGAGCAGGTAGAGTGCAATGAAAGAAACATTTATGTATACTTCACACCACTAGTTGATTTCAGAGGTTTTAGAAATTTATCAGAATTCTTTGTGTTAGTAAACCTGCTTGGGTTTTGAGCTCATGGCTGCCTTGTGGAGAGATACTAAGTAAATACATAAAGTGATTGCTTGTGAATCACAGGAATACAATTTACAATGTGATGAGTGAACACTTCCACATAATAAAATAAGGCACTCCGTTACTATAATGCAAAGCTTTAACTGCTCATGTCATGAATATAGGTGTGTTTTAGCAGGGACACAAAACAAGGTAATTATTGTCAGAGGTCGAGCAACAAGTGTTTTATGAGCAATTTAAATTATAAAAAAGCCCAGTAAAGCCTGAGAAGGTGGAGAAGATGCTGAGCAAACAAATATTGAATGTTTGATTAGGAAAAAATATTATTTGAAGGAGATATTTCAGTTAAGGACATCTTTCTCCAGAAGACGTGCTACTGGGAGGAAAATTTCACATGTATTATTCAGGATCTGGCAGTTTTGTGTTAGGTGCTGCATTTGTTCTTTGAAGGTTTTAGTAAATTTTTCCAGAAAACCACTTTTTGGAGGAAAACCATGACATCTGTGGACTTGTTTCTGCTGATTTTTCATAATCTGCAGTTTCATATTCCCAATATGTACATTAGTCTCTGACAAAAAAAGAAAAAAAAAACCAGTGACCAAATAATTTTGAAAAACTCTTTAATCATAAGCAATGTATGTCTGAATATCTATGTCCTTTGGCTTTAAAATTAATTTTTATTGCTAGGATAGAAAATGAATTTACTTCTGTGTCTATATAGTTTTGTTATATACTTTATGATGTATAGCAATGAGGTCAAATGCATCTTTGATACCAGCAAAAAGAATGGATGTTATATCAAAATAAATTTGGCTGAGTGTTCAATGTGAACTGCTTTGAAAACAGTTTTATTGCTCCAGTTACACAGAAAAATTGTCCCCTCTAAAAAAAAAATCTTTTTTCAGAACATAGACACACCTTGATTAGTAGTGTTAAACCCAGAAAGAGATCTGAACAACTCACACCATTTCTAGACACCTAATCATGTAATCGAATTTTCTTTTTTTTTTGTTTTTTAATCCAAAATGGAATGCTTCCCACGAGGAAGA